GGTTTCCCGTACACGTCGATATGGCGATTACTAGTCGTTTCGTGCCTTTCATGAAAATCGGACTGTATTTTAACCAACTACGTAGCTTGCAAGCTTCGCGGCAGTGTGTTTCAGTAGCGCTACTAGTACTGGTGACATCGTTCCGATTCACAACTTTGAAAATGTATCGTTGAAGGACACGATTGAAGCAAACGTGGTTGGTGTTCTTGCTAGAGGCCACCAGGTAAAAAAACATGTCCCAGGGAGGATTCGAACTTCCGGCTTCACGGTTTGGCAATCCCACAACGTGATGATTTAACCACTAATCGACAAGGACGTTATAACTTGTCTTGAACTTATCCGACATATGCAGAGGGGATGATCGATGGCAATCCGATGATGTCAGACTCATGTTGTGAGCTTACAGACTCGTTGTGCCAGATCATCATTGCAAGGACCAACCAGGATTGACTAGGATGCATGATGGGTCTCAGAAGGCCCCTCAGACAGCTAGAGGCTATCTATGTAAGCACTTTGTGCTGTACGGCATGACAGTGCCACCTGAAGCTTGGGGCTCCAACATTGCAAGGATTGACTGATGAATCGATGACCGGTGACCGATAATCTCCGATAATGCTCCAATTGTGCCAGCCACCGCACCTTATATTAGGCGCTTGGGCAGTTGAGCTTGAGGACCCTGATAGTAGCGGTGGATCCAGAGATAATTGTGCGAATGGACGATAAGAAATTACAATGTCTATTTAGGTAAGCAATGCCTCATGCAACCTCAAGTTCAGCCTCCCCGCATTTCGTCCTCATTTACAAACCCATCCTCTCACCGTGATCTCTCAACCAGTAGCTGAAAATGAGAAAAACATCCTACGTTGTCACCTTCATTGCAGTTCTTCTCATCCTCGTTATTGTAAGCCCTTTCTCGTTTCCCCTGAATCACAGTTTCGACATTGACGTACTTCCCCCAGAACATACTGTCCGCTCGTCTTCCGGATTGGTTCGCCAGACAACCATATTTGCCATCAGTTACCAGCCTGACACGTTACATTTGAAGGCTCATCGCAAGATATGACATCCTTAACGCCAAAATAATTATCCGTTATGGTCTTATGGAGCGCTGTGAGCGCTCTGTCATCACCATACCTAGCCCCAACAAAGGAGGTCGTCTCGAATACAAGGAGTCCGAGTGTCGAGCCTTCCCTCTCCGAGTTCAAGATGGATGCGAGGACGATAACCGCATATTCTGCGCTGCGTGGGTTTCTGCTCAGTACTTCACTGAGCTAGGCATCGGGTTCGCTGCGATGGCTTTAGTAGCTTTGATCATTGGCGTTAGCACACACTCCCGCCGCCGCAGAGTCTGGCGAGCCGTAGCAGGTCTAGTCTTACTCCACGGTAGGCATTTCTTTCATGTTTACTGTATTCTTGTGACCAAACCTGCCGCAGCTGTCTTCCAGCTCGTTACGTTCGGCCTTGTTGCCGAGCTTTACCGCAAGAACAGGTTTCCGGCATTCGAGCATGCCAAACCCGGTGAGTCCCTTGTTATGAAAGCTATTGGTCTGTGCTCAGTTTATGTAGGGGCCGGGTTCGTCCTCAATGCGATCTCTTGGGTGGTTGGCCTTTTCGTCGCTTTCGGGGTCATCGTGACTGGCATGGCTGCTGACCGTGGTCATAAGTGGGCCGCTGGGAACAGGGCTTATCAGCCCATTCGGGGATGAAATTGTTGCTTCATGCCTTCCTAAAAATTACTGGATATCCTTCACCGTGACTCTTGCCTTCCGTCTTCAAGCCTGAGTGTACTATACTCCTGGTTCCCCTTTAGCATATCATACATACACGTACATATGCATTGAATGATTGCACATACCCACCTTCTGGACATTGTTCTACGTCTTGATGTTATTTAGTCTGATCCATCTGTCCCAGTAAGCACTGAATACGTGCTAATATTAATACTGTAGTACCAACCAAGACAACGCCTAAACGAGCTCCACAATCACTGCCCCTCATCGGGATAGTCCACTTTATCATATAACCTCAGCGTCTCATTCCAATCTCTCTTTCTCCTCCTCCGCACTGAGAAGTACTTGGCCCCACTCTCCCACTTGCTCCTGACTCGACCCTTCTCCCGACCCCCACTTTCCAAGAAGAATCTCTCTGGGTTATCCGGGAGACCCAGTATCCCCACACCTAAGTTCATGACGCGAGAGTGTAGATCATTGCGCGTTTGACGCATCTCCTTCAGCGAGGGTTTTCCCACCCCAAGCAAACGCAACAAGGCTGTGAATGCCCTGAAAGCTGAGACCGCGTCCTCGAGCCACCTCAAGGTCATCCACATCAGCGCTGGGACGAGGGCCACTGTTATGGTCGCAAAGGGAAGAGTAAGTAGAACGGTTGCGCCCCAGACGAATAAACCGGAGAAAAGCCCGTAGACAAGCTTATACTGGGCAATCTCGTCCCATGTATCCCAGATCGGCCCGCTCCTCTTGAAGTTATGCACAGCATAAAAAGTCGTGGCAAAGACCGGCGTCCACAGCACAAGGCCAGGAAGGGATATTGTCAGCAGACAAAGAGGCCAAGTAAGACGGATCAACATCCTGAAGATGATGAAGCGCCTGCGTAGCGGTCGTCGAATACGGTCATCGTTGATACCCCAGTGGACAAGCCGATCTTGATACCGCTACATAAGCTGGTTAACGAGAGTATGGCGTACTTCTGTCCGTGATTCACTTTACCTTGAGGTCGTGGCGTAGAGTATTGATCTCCAGGTCCTTCCTGGTGTGCTCAACAGTTTCCCCAGGTCCACCGGTGATCTTGTCAGTTGCGTCTTGAGATGCCTTGAAAGCTTCGACGAACGTTCGCGTAACACGCACATACTCGCCTAGGCTCATTCTTGTCCCTAACGGGGCATATATACGGGAGGCAAGCTTCGCGGAACGGATTAGATCCCAAGAAGGCGCGTCGATGGTTCGAGAGCCAATCAACTGATGTATCTGCGCCGTCACGTCACGGATGCGGTCAAAGTCCACAGGTTCAAGAAGCTCTGGGTTGTCCTACAAGAATGAACTCAGCAGGGGCTCATGCGAGAAGGACGTCCTGGCGTTATACCTTCGGGGTGAACGTCATAGGAGGATTAAACGTCACCAACACGTCAGAGCGGAAATGCTGGCGATGCCTTTCCGAATCGACCTCAGTGGGGGGAGAAGTTTACACTGCAAACACGTACATGTATGTGATGGAGCAGGTAAGGATCGAGATTGAGAAACCAGGATTATCACGATTACGCGTCAGGACATCGGAAAGGAGTCTTGCGACTATAGAGGAATTCATTAGCGCATGGGACTGACACGGTCGTAACCAACCCCACCTCCAGTCTTCATAGGGGCTATAGTTGGATGGTAGCGGCTCATTCCTTCCGGAAACAAGCATATGGCGTCACCAGCCTCCAGTGCCTGTGCAGTGATTAGCCAGATGGCCGGGCCCAGATCAAGGTGGGGCGTAATTGCTGACCTCCATAAGCTTATCCATAACGTCAGTGTTGTTGATATTGCCATCGGAAAAGTCCTTGCGTCTTTTGATGGGAACAGTTCCGGCAGACTCGATAAGCCAGCTGGTGAATGTCCTGTGCCCAAACTGCGTGGATTTAGCGGTGAGCCGCAGCATGTTACGCGTCTGGCGAAATTCCCTCAGTTGACAAGTTCAAAGTCCAAACTGAGTATGTGCTGGCTTACTCTTGACGGAATGGAGGTGACGAGCAGGCTACAGGGAGAATCGAGATTGTGAGCCAAGAACAGCATGTACAAGTGACAGTTGACATACAGGGCATCTGTCAGTGAGTTACTGTGGTTTGCACAAACGATGCTAGATTTGCAGGCAACTTCTTCAGGCCATCCTGCACCCCTGAACAAGGAAAAGTCAGCTCACCAGGGTTGCCCAGTCTTAGGTATGAAATCAGCATTCTCCACAACTATCGTGCCATAGAATATTTTGAGCACGAACTGGAAGAGGAGTCTACGAGTCATGCTGTTCAATGCAGGTGTCACGACATGTGAGGAGGTGCATACCGAACGAAGACGTAGGACCAAGGTGTAGGTGTTCCCTTGGGCATGTCAGTACGTAGGAGTCGTGAAGGTCGTCGTCAGTTCATAAAGTAGGTTCCCGGGTGGTCAGGAAATTAATGATGCACTAGTTTGAGCACCGACAAACGTGTCGAAGGCCTCCAATCGGCCCGGGTTAACGGCCATGATTATGTCAGCAAAATTTTGATCCCTTCTCCGTCGACCTTGAAAGTGACTCAAGATTATCATCAAGCGAGCTCTCATTTAGTTATTGCGCTAGGTGGCTCTTGCAATCGAAGCGCACCGGTGGCCATCATGGAGGAAGCATTGGCAAAAATACGCCCTCACACGTCTTCTTCTCTCCCTCATCAGAAGACACCCGCAAATCTTCTCCAGGCGCTCGAATCTACTTTCAAAGAGAAGGGCACTGATCGGACACCGACTGCATATTTCGCTGCTTTGATAACCACGCTTGACGGCACTCTACAAAAGAAAGACACCTCACTCGGCGATGGCGATGTTCTGCCTGCGGAGCTCTATTTGCTTGCCTTGATCTCGCCATTCGTCTCCCAACCCGTCATCCAGTCAAATCTGAATACACTTCTGTCGCTCACCGCACAATTGTTTCCTTCCCTCGCAGGTCATGCCCCCCCTCTGAGGTCACAACTCACCCTGTACAATGCGATCTTCCGCGCTCTCGATCGATCACAGTTGGACGTATCAACCATCCGTCAATCATTTGCAACTGTGCTGCAATTATGCCTAGATCCCCGACCAAAAGTACGCAAGCGAGCCGCAGACTTGGTGAACGATGTATTGTGGAACCCACCAAGCCCCCTCCTGCGTCATCCCTACGCCCAGCGTGTCGCTGAATGGATGCAAACGTCTCTCCATCAAGCCAGCTCGGGCGTCCTTCCAAAAACAAAACCTGCTGCCAAGGAGTCTTCCTCTGTTGACACGGCCATCTATCTGCTAGCGTTACTCCGCCCGATTTTACCCACTCTTCCACTTGATGTGAGCGATATCTTCCAGTGCTCGAATAAGCACCTGACTGGCTCCAAAAGGCCATCCAACCTATTACAACTATCCTTCTCACTCTTCCCAGACTGGGTAACCCTTACATATCACAATCCGCCTATTCAATTCTTTCTGGTCTTCTCATTGCTTCTGTCGGTTCAGGTAATCATAGTGGCACCGAGCAAATACCTGCAGTAATGAGCGCCATACTATCGTCCCCACCTCCGAAGTCAGATATCACTATCACGCCATC